TAAAGCTGGTCCTACATGGCCTCCAAAGCAAAGCAGCTGCTTCATCTGCAGCGTTCCTAGAACAGCGCCCCCTCTTGGGATGAGCCAGCCTTACAGGTGGCTTTTATCCAGTCCAGTGGTGTTCCCTTAGAGACATCCTCTTGTGTGTTTGGATCATGTATACCTATCTGTGATAGTTTTATAGTGACCTCTGGAGTTCCATCAACACGTGTACGGTTATGTTCTTCTACTCTGCAGTGTTCAAAATCAAAGACACAGCCCCTAAATTAGTGGCTGTCTGAATCCATTTTGTGAAGGCTCCTCAGGAAGCTGATGACACCCATCCACAGATGGAACAGTTTCTTCACACTGCTCTCCCTAGTTTCAGTAGTTTCTTGCTTTTTCCCTCTTCCCACATGTACCACCTTCTTGGTGGCCAGAGTTCTTGGTTAGTTCTTAGTGGTACTTTGAATAGGCCTGGCGTACTTTTTACCTTGGGATGGCTCTGAGGTTAGTGACCAAAGCCCAGACTTACTGAAATCTGAGAGTTGTCTGGCATCAAGGCCCAACCCAGTGCTCTCCTTTAATTTCATTTTAGCTATTGCAGATAAAAATAAACAAGGGATTGAATGGTTCGCCTTTTCTTATTAGTTTGCGCTTCCTCAAATACCAGTGAACCAACTTCCCAGGAACTGAATTAGTTGCTAAATTCCAGCAGCAGCTTTGCCTTCAGTTGCTAAACTCAGCATTGTGCTCTTCCACACGGCTACCCAGTAATCAGAGCTTGCGCATCTCCCACCCTTTCAGCCTGTTCCTTCCCAAACCATGTTTCTGTGAGCTGTGGCCATTTAGCAAACCTGTGACACCAACTATATGGGAAAAAGAAACCGTGTTTCTCCCTGTAGTGGGCCTTCCAGACCCACAGATTCTACACCCATGGTATCAAGTAACTATAGATTGAAAAGATTTTTAACAAATCTTGTGTGTGTGCTGAATATGTATAGGCTTTTTCTTTATTTCCTAAACAATTCAATACAACAATATTTATATAACATTTGCATTGTGTTAGGTATTATAAGTAATCACAGATGCAACCACTGTGGACATCGATGTGGAGATATCTCAAAGAACTAGGCCTGGAGGTCCCATTTGACCCAGCTATCCATCTGCTGGGTATCTTCCCAAAAGAATCAAACTACGGTGATACATGTGCACCCATGTTCATAGCAGCACAGTTTGTGATAGCTAAAACTTGGAAGCAGCCCAATTGCCATCCACAGGAGTCTGGATAAAGAAAATGTGGTTTTTAATAAAATGGAGTACTACTCATAAAGAATGAGAAACTAGAGACACATATAGCTAAATGGATGCACACTGAGGTCATACTCTTAAGTGAAATAAATAGGACACGTGTAAACACCAAATAGTTTCTCTAGTAACTGAAAAGTGTAAACTGAAAGTGTAAACAAGGACTAAAAGGCATAATAGATAATGTGAAATAGGAAGAAAAGGATATGAAGGGGTAGGGGAAAACAAAGATGGGAATGGAATTAATATGAGAAAAAGAAAAAATGGAAACAAAGTCTTTGTGGGTAGGGAGGGGTGGAGGGGTTGAAGGGAGGGCAGGGGAATGGAGAAAAAATAGGAACCAAGATGGATTATATAAAGGTGCAAATTTCCAATGATGAATGTCATTACATTGTATACCTTAAATGTACCAATAAAATCAATTAATTAAAAAATAAGTAATCACAGGTAGTTTGAAGTACATGGAGGAAGTTTATAGACTGTAGGCATTTACTATACACTTTATAAAACAGGACATAACAGCCAGGGATTCTGATATCTGTGTCCTGCATATTGAGAGACAACTGTACTCTTAGCACTTTCTTTCTGACATTGTACGGAGGTGGAAATGTGTGATACATCGTAAAGGTCACAGCCATATAACAAAAAAGACAATTGACAAAAGAAAAGCATAGCAAGCCTGAGGTGAGGATAGGATGGAGCTAAAAGTTCCAACTCTTAATCACATAGTTGGTTCCACTGGCAATGAGTCCCCAATTTTGTAGCAATATAGGGGCCTTCCAAAAGTCACCCCATAAACACAAAATCAGATGTAGTTGTTTTGAACAAGAAAGACTGCTCTTTTCACCGGTAATGCTCTTATCATTTAGGAATTTCTAAGACTTTTAGGAGTTCTGTGCCAGCAACAGGGTAAAGAACAAATGTATATATTCCTTTTTGTAAGTTACAGTGTCGCATAGCCACACTCCCTTTTCATCTGATGCTGCTCTTGCCCTTGTTCAGGAGACTTTTGCTTCCCCTTTAAGCATAGTAAGCTTATTTCTGCATCAAGGCCTTTGCACTAATTGCTTCTTCTACCTGGAAGTTCTCCTTCAGAACTTTCACTGACTGGCCCCTTCAGGACTTCATTCAGTCCAGATGTTACCTCCTCAGAGAAGCCTTCGAGATCACCCTGTCCAGATCTGCTGCTTCCTGGCAGCCTGGTCATATCATTCCCCATATCAGGGATCAGATAATATTTCCTGTGGAGGGCAAGATATCTTCATGGTCCATATGGTCTGTCATAACTACTCACTTCTGCTTTTGCAGCATAAAAGCTGCCCAGACAATATATAGACAACTTTGGCTGTGTGCTAATAAACATGTATTTATGGAAACTCTTAAAAGAAAAAAATTACAATAAATCTAGTTTTTCCAATCAGGCAGCAGCCTGGTTCAAAAATGAGAGCCCGGATCTACACCATGGCTGGGTTTTATTTAGAGCCAGAGAAAATGAAGCGATATACAGAATACAGAAGTGAGGCATAGAGACAGTCTGATTGGTTACAGCTAGCTCTCATCTGTATTATTTGAAGATGGTGTGAAGAGCAATTGGCTGCTTTTGATTGGCTGAGACTCAGCCACTTGTTACGAGGGTAGGATATAAGGATACAGTCCATTTGTACATTCAGTTAGGTTATGGTTCACGATATGTAGAGAGATCTTTAAGCCAAACTTAAAAGGTAGGGAGGCAGCTTTATGACATATGTAGAAATACTGAAATTTCAATATGATAATTTTCACATATTGTGAAATATTCTTCTGGTGTTTATTTGTCAACTACTTGAAAATATGAAAACTGATTTTAACTTGTAGGTTACAGAAGCAGAATTCCACCCATGAGCTACTATAGTTTTTTGATCCCTGCTCTATGCCATTATCCTGTTATAGCTGCATCTTACTGGTGTCTGAGATTGTCTTATGTATTTATGTGTTTACTTTTTGTCTTTCTCTCCTACTAGACTGTGAGCTCCATAAAGGCAGGTTCTGTACCTTATTCACTGCATTATCTCTATCAACTAGAACAGTACCTGGATCACAGAGATGCCTTATGAATATCTGGTGACTGAATGAACACATTTATGTAGCCCACAAGTCACTACATCTAATAAAGACTTGCTCCCAAACCTCCCTGTGTGTCAGAGCCTCAGTTTCATAGCCTCTCAGGCCTTCCCTTCTCTCCGGCAGTTACTGTAGTCATCTCTCAAGCCTTCCTGAACTTTGGCCCTCACTCTGGTCCTGCTCACTCCAGTCTTCTCTATAGTGTGTTACCTTGCTAAAACATTTCTTTTATTATGCCATATCTGTGAAAATATCAAAAAATTCAACACTGCTTTTCCATTCCCTGCATTATAACGATAAATTCATTGGGTGTATAAAGCCCTTCCCGGTCAGTTCCCATGCTTTTCCAGCCTTATCTTTGGGCCTTGTCAGAGACGAACTCTGCTCCCACAGCCTCATCTCTTTATTAGGCCTGACCTCATCCCTGCTTCTTCCCACTTCTGACCTTTGCTCGGGCAGGTGGCTTTCCCCTGGGAAGAGAACGAGCTCCCTCGTAATTCAACGACAAGCTGCAGTGAACGTGGGGAAACCAGGAAGAAGGCAGCTGTGCCAGAGGAAAGCTGCAGGATAAGACGTGAACAGAACCAAACATGGCTCAAGTGCTAATGAATTGAATTAAGAATTATTGAAAAATACTCTTTGGTCAGGTTGTTCAGACCAGTGTTCTTCAAACTATTATGCAGACAAATAATTTAGGGAGTCTTGTTAAAATAAGGATTCCGGCAGAAGATCTGCAGGTGGGTCCTTGAGAGTCTGTAATTTCAACAAGCTCCTAGGATGCCCAAACTTCTGGTTCTAAGGGAACTCTTTTGGTATCAAGAATCTCACTAAATGCTTAGAAAAGGTACCTTGTCCGTGTGGCTTAGATATGGGAGTAGGAGGCCATAGGCCAACCCCCTAGAGGCCTGCCTATCTATCAAGAGAACCCCACAAAACAGTCCCAGACTACAGTGAAGACATTTCTTGCATTCTGAATAACTTAAAAAATGTATTAAAGGTTCTGTATTTTTTGATGAAGGAGGGGCCGCTGGAAACTGAGGACAGAGTTGAGTGAGTGAAACTAAAAGGGAAGAAGCATCTTTAATCCTGAGTTGAGGGCAGTGAAAACAGCCTTTGTGAAATGAACAGATTTCCACATTGACTGTGCTGCTTGCACACGCGTGCACACACACACACACACACACACACACACGCACACAGTTTGTAGCCTGGGGCGCTGTACTTTCCCCTGATGCACACAGATCGTCTCCTCTGTAGAAGAGAGGGGACACCTCTTCTGATCCAGCAAAGCACATAGCTCAGAATCTTTGGCCCAAGTACCAGTAAGGGTGCTTCACCCTGACGAAACTGGAATTGTTTCTGTAGTGTGTGTCTCCAAACAGAAGAGCAAGTAGGAACCGGTTCGCTGGCATAATAAACACAGCCGTTCTGACAGTTTTTTTTAATGGTTAGTCCAGCTCTTGTATCTTTGGCTAGTCCATAGCTAACCTTTTGATGAAGTTACGTGTAATTTTTCCCTTGGCTTGACCTCATGAAATGAAAAGATGTCCTGACTAGTTCTTTCAATGCCACTTCCCTTATCATGGACGTTTCCCTCTGCTTTTTTCGCACAGGAACTCCTGCTGAGCGATTGAACTCTGATCTTGACATAGAAACATGGCCATGGTAAGTACTTTATCAGAGTACCTCGCCCCACCTGGGCCAGCTGCAGATAGTTACAGAATGTGTACTCAGGGATTGTTGGATGAAAATCATTTGCTCAACAGAGGAGCGGGAGAAGGACATAAAAGGCTGTTTCTTTTTTCCATTTCTATATCTTTCAGGAGTGGTAAGTAACTTGACTCAAAATGAATTCAAAGCCAGAATCCTTTGAATCCTTTTAACATCATGAGAAGACAGAAACAAGTCATACTTTTATATCTGTAGAGCACTGCGTATTCATTTTAGAACACTTAGGCAAGTAAAAAGGAAAAATTAAAAATCCTGCAGGTTCTGCCATCAGAGACTGTCGACATTTTGTTTCTTCCCCGTCACTTCTCGCTCATGGACAGCGCTGTTTCTTGGCAACACATGAAGCTCATCACCTTCTACCCCTCCTGCTTCCCACTGTGCCCAACTCCTCAGGACACAGTTATCTGAGCTTCGTCACAGCCGTGGAATTAGATCCCTTGAAGTTTGTGAAGTTTATCAGAAGGCTGGAAGCTGAGCCCCCTGGCTGCAAGATGTCTGTGCCTAAGGCTGGCCATGTGCTCTCCTCCCACCCAAAGAAGGTTCTGAAGAGGCGGGCAATTTGGATCCCTGGTCTTCTGGGAGGGAATAATAGAAGTAGCACCTTATACCTGGGGAGGAACTGGAGATCCCCCCAGCTCTAGATGCTTTCCTTTCAGAAAATAGGTTTGTAAACTATTCCTGACACACAGTAAGTTATGTACTCTTGAAAATCCATTTTGACATTAGAGATTTTAGGATTTTCTTTCTGACGCCTGATAGTCAAAGAGTTATTCATGTCTGTCCAAGTCTATTATGCTTTAATTTGAAATTCATTTCATGGGGAACATTATTCAGAAATGTTTGTAGTAGCCTTACTTTGTACCAGATGTGGCAGTAGACTCTGGGGACTTAAAATGAGTGGGGCACTCTTTCTGTCTTCTGTGTGTGATGTCTGGAACCAAGTGACCCGTGAGTGTGCTTATAGAATTACCTCAGTTGCTCTCATCTTTCCTCCCAGAGCCTGTTTTCCCATCGTGACTGTCATTTTACTGGATAGAAAAAGGACACTTTAAAGAAAACCATGTGATACAATTACAATATTGAAATTCACAGCTATTTTCCATCATTTTATTTTAGACCCTACTCATATAGAAAATGTAAATAGTAGTAATAAAAGCATAAATCATATTATGTATTCTGCTCCTCTCTCCCCAGTTAGTATAGGGAAATGCTTAGAATAAAGTGATAAATTTTAAATGAAGTAGGATACTAAAGTTACATATTAGCCAGATGTGGTGGCACACACTTGTAATCCCAGCTACTCTAGAGGCTACCCGCAGGAGGATCTCAAGTTCAAGACCAGCCTTGGCAAGTTAGCAAGACTCTGCCTCAAAATTTAAAAATAAAAAGGGATGGGGATATAGCTCAATGGTGAAGCACTTGCCTAGCATGTGTAAGACCCTGAGTTCAATACCATGTAGTGCCAAAAAAAAGAAATTATTTATTCAATTTATGCTAATTTGTGTTTGTGTAACATTTTATATATTAAAATTATTTAATATTATGCTTATACTATACTTTATAGCATATTAAAATTATTTAATCTAGTATATTAAAATTATTTACTCAAAATATTTTAATTTTTAAGATTCTGCTTTAAATTTTCCAAATTCTCTACAGTGACCATAGTTTGTTTACTTGTTTTTGTGATACTCAGGTTTGAGCCCAGGGCCTTGCACATGCTAGGCAATGGCTCTAGCACTAAGTTACACACCCAGCTCTTGTAAAATTTTATTTTCAGATAAGGTCTCACTAAATTGCCTAGTCTGCTCTCAGACTTTCTGCCTCCCCAGTAAGTCCCTGGGATACAGTATTGTGCCACTTTTCACAGCAACAATGACGATATGTTTTGTTGTTGTTGTTGTTTTTGTTTTTTGGTACCAGGGATTGAACTCAGGTCCTTGCGCTTGCAAGCCATGCCATCGAACCGCTGAGCTAAATCCCCAGCTATGATATATTTTAAAAGTCATTATATTCAAGTCTTTAAAAATTTTTTAATGGAGGTATAAATTGCAGGCAATGAAATGCACAGCCTTTAAGGTTATTAGTAGAGTTTTGACAGGTGAATGTATACATGCAACTGACTCCTCCATCAGAATAGCATGTTTTATTCGTGCAGGAAGCTCCCAGATGCTCTTTCCAGGCCCGGCAGCACTCTGTTCTCACTACAGCTCTGAAACACCACAACTGTCTTCCTTGTCACCTCTACAGATTAGCTTTGCCTGTTCTAAAAACATCCTCTACGTAGAATGAGAAAGTGTGGACCCTTTTGTGTCTGACCTCATTCTCTGAGCATTATGTGTGTTGCAGTTCCTCCATGTTGCTGTATGGATCTGGGGTTTGTTCCTCCATTCCTTTTTGGGGCTCATTAATATTCTGCTATATAAAATTCTAGTATTTCTGAAGCTTATCATCTTCCTGATTACTATAATAGCGATAACATCTCTTCAGTCCTGATACAGCATCTACTTCAGGTCGTTCACTTTTGTCATTCTTTCCTCCGTGTTCTTTGTTTCCTTTGCCTGATACCATGATGAGCCTCCTGGGCTGGTGGAACCCTCCCTTCCCTAAGCAGATAATGGTACATTATGCCCCCAAATTTAATCAATACAGATATTTACAGGGCTAACAATGAACAAATTTCTTGAGCTTTTTCCTGGAATAAAAGAGTCATTTAGAATGCTGAGCCACATCCCACTATCGATTCATCTTGTTAGATATTAATTTTAATCTCCTAATGGTGTCCTTCAGCAATCCAGTGTGCTATGAAGTTTAACACGGTATTTGAATACCATCCAAACATTTTTCGATACTTGAATTCCAAAAGAACCCTGTGAAATGTTTTACTCAGGGAAGTTTTTCAGGGCTGGGGGTGTAGCTCCATGGTAGTGTTTACTTACCACACATGAGGGCCTGGGTTTGAGCAACTGTGTTCCCCTTCAAAAAAAAAAAACTAAGTTAGGCCATGTTGGAATTTTGACAGCAAATCACCAATCTGATGATAAATAGTAGAAGAAAAGAGGTAAGTTAACCGTACAGCTGCTATAACAAAGTGCCACAAACTGGGAAGCTTAAATAATAGAAATTTATTATACCACGTTTGCAAGGCTTAAACTCCACGTCAAGGAGTCAGCATGGCTCATGCTCTCTCTCTGAAACTTTGCATGCTTTGCATAGGTGTTCCTTGCTTGCTGCTGTGTAACTCCAGTCTCTGCCTTTGTCATCTTACAGTATTTGTTTTGTGTGTCTCTGTCTTCACATAGCCTTGGATTAGGGCCCACTCTACTCCAGGATGACCTCATCTTAACCACTAACACTTGCAGTGACCCTGTTTCCAAATAAGTATCTTCCAAAGTACTGAGGGTTAGGACTTCAACGTGTCTATTTTGAGGTATATATTTAACTGATAACAGTGCCCAAGGAAGTTAATGTCACAGATCTCCATTTTCCTCTCTCAAGGATGGAGATGGTGATGCCTGAGAGCTGGATACTGACCACATCTAGAATGTGAAAGCCTGGCATTTCAGCAGAGATGCCCCCTCCTCTGTGACACCTGAGGACTTGAATGGGCTGATGTGGTCACTGGGGGTCTCAGAGGTGCAGGCCAGTGTGGTCCAGCTCAGAGAACTCAAATCTGGTTTGCCATAAAAAGCCTGTATTCCTTTAGATGTGCAAACTATATCCTTGGGCCAAATTAAATTGCCAGAAATCTTTAGCTCTAGTTTACACTGCTTTGCCACTTTGTACAAATGCTCTATCTAGTTTCTGCTTTGGCATCACCCCATAGGCTTGCATTGAAGAGAATTATCAGAAACACATAAAAGACTCTCGTTATGTCTTATGGTAATGTGGTTGAAGTCATATTTAAATAACGATGATGATGGTGGTGTTGGTAGCAATCCAGGTTGAGTTTTTGTTTTAGTATTTACTTTTTTCTAGATTCTGTGTCAGTACTTTTCCATATTATCCTGTTTCGTTGTTGCAACAATCCTGTAAGTTGTTATAATTATAATTATTCCCTATATGCAGGTTGGAAAGATCAAACTTCCCCTAGGCCATGCAACTAGAAAAGTTTGAAGATTGGCTACAAACCCAGATCTATCCCACTACGGCTATGCTTCTGTCCCCCAAAGAAGTGATAGGGACTTCAACTCACCCTGGGAAGGCTCTTTTTTGTGTGTAATACTGGAAATTGAACCCAGAGGCTTTGCTGAGCTACAACCTCAGTCCCTTTTTTATTTTTTATTTTGAGACAGGGTCTCTCTCTAAGTTGCCCGTGCAGGGCTTGAACTTGCAATCTTCCAATGCCTCAGCCTCCCAGAAGGCTGGGACTATAGGTGTGTGCTGCCGTGCCTACCTTCAATCAGTTTCCTGACATATCATCACAGAAAAGCATTTCAGGACACATCCATGAGAGTCATGGGAAGATTTATTAGGCAGAATCAAAAAAGTACGCACTCAGAGAGAAAGAGCATAGGTACTTGATGAGTGAGGCCCACTATGGTCTGGGGTTAGGTGTATTTATATGGTCTTAGGTATCTTTGAAATGGATGATCTAGGATGCTTGTTATTTATTTTTAGGTACTTATTATTAACTTAGTGTCTGTTCTTTTAAGGTTAGCTTGCCCTTTAGTGGATTACAGCAAAAACTATCAACTAGGTTACATACACAGTTGGTATATGTTTGAAATTTAGACATGCAATGCCCAGTTAATAGTATTGTTTCTTTAGGAGTGGAAGTTTTTGGAATTTATGTATTTATAGTATTAGGAGGAAAACACAGGTCAAGTTTATACACTTATAGTATCTTTAAGAGTCTTAGGAATTTAGGAGTGAGGGGCTGGGAGAAAGACAGTCCTAGAGGTAGAAAGACCTTGTAACTTTGGATAACTTTGATCTTGTCTTAAAGTTGCATTTTTCTGCATCTTCCTCAAAATTAGAATTGCACCATCTCCTTTCTATCCTCTTTATTTCTTCTGTTTTGCCCCCTTGCTCCGTGCTGAGCTTCTCAGGGGCAGATGCTGACCACTCCCTCCATCCCTGGGTTTCCTTTTGTCCCCAGGGCTGATCCTTTCTGGTCATCCTTGATGGGTCCCTCCATCTGCGCTGGACTGTGAAGTGACACAGGCTTGTCTCAGGGCCTCTGACCTCCTCATCCTTCACTTTCTCCCCCTGCCCCCATCATCTTATCAAATGCCATCAAAATGCTGATGTATCCTAAATGCATAATCTCAGACAGAGGTGGGGAACCTATGGCACGTGTGTAATTGTGTCTTTCTTTTAAGACAAAAGATGTTAATGTGGAGTTGTTTTTTCTAAACTAACACCTCAGTATTCAGGTTTAATTTCAGTGTTGGCACTCTGGGCTAAGTATCTGGGTTTTGGGTTGCAGTTTGGTATTCAGTCTATAAAAAGGTTTGCCGTCACGGCTTTAGACTTTTCTTCTGTGCTTACCTGGTATGACCAACTGTCCTTTTAACCGTTGTTTAGTGACCATCCCCTTTGAAAATAGAACTTTTAAATCCTCCCTTCCGGCCCCTGCCACCCCCAATCTGGAAGTCCCCCTCCAGTTCTCCCCATCTGGATGAACAATAGCACTCTCTACCCAGCTGCTCAGAGAAAACAATTCAGAGTTAAACGTGATCCTCTTTCCTCACTTCCCATACCAGTCCATCAGCAAGTCATGTCGCCTTGGCTTCAAAACATGTACTGCTGAATCTGCCTGTTTATTCCGCCTCGGCTGTTTCACCCTCCTCTAGTAACTTCCCACTCCCGTCTTGGCTCAGACTCCTGCTGGTCTCTGCATCTCCCTACAGCAGCTGGAGCCATCTTTTTAATATGTAAATGAGATTCCAGGGTCCCGTCTCCTGGCTTTAATTTGTCAGTGGCCTCTTCTTGCACTTAAAATAAAATACAGATGCCTTGCTCAGCATAGAAGGGCTACCTTGCCCAAGCCCCAGCCTATTTCTTTCATTTTCTTTCCTTCTTTTATCCTTAATTTTTCTTGTGGAAAGGTTTGAATGCATACAAAAATAAACAGAATATTGTAAGGACTCCTTTGTGTACGTACCTATCAATGATTATTAACTCAGTCAATTTTATTTCTTCTTTGTCTTCGTCTTTGTCTCCGCCTCTGTCTCCTCCTCTCCCCCACCCCTTTTCCTTCTCCTTCTTCAGCAGTTTTGGGGGTTGAGCCCTGGGCCTTTACACTGAGTACATCCCCAGCCTTTTCTTATTTTATTTTTTACTTTGACCCAGAGTTTTGTCAAGTCTCTGAGTTGGCCAGGTTGGCTTGAATCTGTGATCTTCCTGCTTCAGTAACCTAGAGTGTTGGGATTATAGGCATGTGCCATCATGCCTGGTTTATTTCCTCTTTATTTTTAATCTTCACACCTGTGATGTGAAGCAGATTCCAGCTCGCTTATCTTTTCATCTTTCCCTCCAAGCTGCTTCATGTGATTTATCTCTCAGCCTAAATGTCACTCCCTAAAGCAGCCCTTGCCAAGACACAGCTTTGTAATATTTCTCACCATATAGGATATTTATTTGTTGGCTTGTTTACTGCCCGCCTCCTCTCAGATACAGCATCAGCTCCATGGGGTGAGAGCCTTGTCCCTCAGTCACTTTAATATCCCTGGTACCTGATGTAGCGTCTAGTCCATGGTGGGTGCTTAACCAGTGTTTGCTGAATGGAATGCCTCCATGTTGGTGAGGTGCTGCCTCTCAGTCACATCACACTCTGTGTACTTAGGCTACCAAAGGAGGAACCATCAAAGCTGCTGCAGGATTCAGTGCCACCGAGGATGCCCAGACTCTGCGGAAGGCCATGAAAGGACTTGGTAAGTCCCACCGGAGGTGAATTCTCCTTTGTGTATTGTACACCTCAGAAAGGAGGAATGTGTACTACGGATCAGGAATAAATCTCCTTTAAGAAAACACAGTAGGGGGCTGGGGATTTAGCTTGGTGGTTCCGCTGCTTGCCTCAAAAGCACAAGGACCTGAGTTCAATCCCCAGTACCAAAAAAAAAGAAAACACAATGGGAACAAGTTGGCCTTTCAAGACAAATTGCACAGGAGGGTGTATTAGTCGGCTTTCCATTGCTGTAACAAGAATACTTGAGATAATCAGTTTAAAAAAGGAAAAGCCTTGTAGTTTGGGTTGTTTCACTCCATGGTCAGTTGGCCGATTGCTTGTGGGCCGGTAGCAAGGTAGCACATCACAGTGGAGTTTAGAGTTGAAGAAGCTGATTCACATTATGGCCAGGAATGAAAAAGAGAGGAAGAGGAGAGGCTGTGGTCCCAAGATCCCCTTCAAGCGCACACTTCCTCCCACTAGGCCCTGACTCTTAAAGGTTCACCACTTTCCATTAGCATCAAACTGGAGACCAACCCTGTAACAGATGGGCTCTTGGAGGACATTTTGATCTAAAGTATAGCAGAGAGCATTAACAATTCTTCACTTTAATACAGACTTTTAAATGTAATCGCACTCATTATGAATTTCACCAACTGTTTAAATCTGCTTTCAATTATAACATTATGAGTCTGCACAAAACTTCAGAATTATATTTGTTTTCCAATTAGTTTTGGTATGTGTATAGTGCTATGAGATTTACAAAGCAACTCCACAAACATTATCTCATCAGATACATACATGCAGCAAATCTGTGGTTTAGTGAAAGAAGCTATTACTTATTGTTATTTTAGCCCCATGTTACAGATGTGAAACTGAGACCCAGAGAAGCCCAAGAAACTCACCAAGTCATGTAGTAAGTGGCTCTGAGTCTCAGCTCACTCTTGGCAGTTCCAGGTCTGCAGCTCAGACCTGCCAGGTCCAAGTGAGTGTCCTTCCCCTTGAGTCCCGCCACATGGGGCTGCACTGAGATACAGCTGCAGTAACCCAGACATGCAGTGTGAGGAACCTTATGTGAGACGGCTCCTGCAAATTCCAGGCCACTGCCTTCAGTTAGCCTCTGGGAGCCAAAGGTCTCCTGCTGGGTTGGCAGAGTCACTGAGGGTGTGCAGCAGGCTACCTTGGCCTAGTCCCTGCCTCCAGCGCCTTGCCTGGGTGGACTTCTGCCAGACATTTTTGCATGAAAACATTTGACCATGAGACTTTATGTCTCAATCTTTCTATCCGAAAGGAGTTCATTTAACTTAGCCTCACTGCTATGAATAGTAACAACAGACAATAACAGTACATGTTCATTAAGCTCCACTATTGTGTCAGGCATAGATGCTTTACAAGGATTATTTGTTTTTAATTTTGACAACAGCTTGCTTTACTGATTAGAGGCGGAGGTTAGGAAGGTTGGCTAACTTGCCCATGGTCTTAGAACTAGTAAGTGAGAGTCAGGATTCCAGGCAATTACAGGTAGGTGACGTCAGGCAAAGTGACTTCACAAGCTGACATCTAAGCCACATCTGACCCCCTCTGAGCAGAACATTGTCCTGATTATGTATTCTTCTCATTTTCTCTCTTTCGTAAATAAAATGGAAAGTGTACTGGGCTTTGTTGTTGTTGTTGTTGTTGTTGTTGTTGTTGTTGTTTAGATTTATCCTAATTCTTTGGTATAGAGCAAAAACACTGTGATTCAGAATGTGGACCACATATATTCAGAATTCTCAAAACAAGAGTCAGGCGGTATTTGTCACAACCAACCCTTTTTCAGTGCCTGCTACATGAGGGTCAATGGGAAGTGAACTGTTAGAAGAGGCAGGTGACAGCCCTGGTCCTGGGGCTGAGGATGTAGCTCGATGGTAGAGTGCTTGACTAACGTTCAGGGCCCTAGGTTCAATTCCCAACATTGCCTAACTACATACGTACATACCCACACACATACTTTCTAATGCCTGGTCCTGGTGGTCAAGTAATCCAGGAATGCTGTGACACCTGTGATATGCTAATGATAAGAGGGGCACAGATAAGATCCTAGAGGGCAGTGGTGGTGAGCCTGTGGCACACATGCTGCGGCAGGCTATTTGTAACATTGGAAGCTCCCTAAGGTTCACCATCACGGCTTAGGGGTTGAAGGAGGGGAGACAACATTTCATTTGGGAGCTTCAGGCAAAACTCGGAGGATGGAGAATTGGAGATGGGCCTCAGGCAATGAGATGAGTGGAGAATGTGTTTCCGGTGAATGGAGCTGAGGCACAGGAGAGATGCAGGAACTGTGTGGAAAGTGGCTTGCAGCAGCAGCAGAAAAGAGTAGCTGATTGGGAGCTTTAAGAGATGGAAGGTACCAAAGAGAGGTCCTGGGGGTGCTACTGAGAGAACCACCTGGACGATCACATATCGGGTGGGGAGGATGCACAGGCACTGTCCAGGCAGTGACAAGTGTCAAAATCGTGATGCTGAATGGAGGTGGGGAGGAAGACCTCTCAGTCAGTGGACTGCCAATGAGGGAGATCAGAGACTGGAGAGCTGTACCAGTAGGTAAAGAGCCAAGTTTAAGAATTTGGCTGCTTGGTATCATTTTACATGGATATTTACATGGCAAATGGGAGACTATAGAGAGGTTCCAGCGCCAGACTACAGCCCTGTGAGAAATCCAGCAGCCCACGGGGAGCCATGGTGTATTTCTGACCAGATGAGAGATATGATAAGAACTTTTCCTTTTACTTATTTGTTTATCTATTTGTTTATTTTGTGCTACTGGCAGTTGGGCCCAGGGCCTTCACAATAAGCTAGATCACTAACTTTTTTGTTTTTTTGTTTGTGTGTATGTGTTTTAATCCTGAGACAGGGCCTTCCTAAGTCACTAAGTTGCTCCTTTGGGCTCTCATTTGCAGCCCCCCTGCCTCAGCTTCCCAGAGTTCTGGGATTACAGGCATCTGCCACCATGCTCAGGGAGCTTTTCTTTTTAGGTATGTGAATGTTGCAAGACTCTGGCAAAGTCAATTAGGAAGGGAAACTATTAGTGCAGAGTTTTATAGTTTACCAAGAAGAAATCCTGCAGTTCTCTATTGGAGTGGTAATACTGGGAGTTAAAAAGAGAGGATGCATGCAAAAAGGCTGCAGAGCAAGGTTTTGCATGATTTGGCAGGAAATTTGAATGTGGAGGGAGAGCATAAAAACAATCAATGCTATCCTGAGGGATCAAACTTGGCAGCTGGAGGAAGAGTAGTGCTTTCATAGAAACAGAAGGCAAGCAAAAGGCAATGAACCTCCTCACCTGGGAGTTCTGAAGGAGCAAGGGACTATTGTCCTTTCCTTTCCTTTTTTTTTTTTTCCTCTTCCCTTCCTTTTTCTAGTACTAGGGTGTGAACCCAGGACCTTCACAATGAACAACATCTCCAGACCTTGTTTATTTTGTATTTTAAGACAGGGTCTCACTAAGTTGCCCAAGCTGCATTCGAACTTGTGGCCCTCGTGCTTCATCCTCCCAGATTGCTGGGATTATAGGCATGTGGATAGGCATGTACTGCCATGCCTGGCTCTCTGATTTTTTTTTCCCTACAATATGTAAAGTTTTATAGCCTCCTCCCACACTTTACACTTTACTAGATCTCTAATCTTGCAAAAAAACATTATGATGAATGCATATTTTTAAAATTTCTGAGTATTTTAGTAGAATCCCTCCTGTAACACATCACAACTTTTCATACAGCATAAAAAATGAGAAAACAGAAAATTCACCAAATGTACTTGAATATCCAGCTGCTAAAGAGATGAGGGACAAATTAGAAAAGCCAGTGAAAACTCCCCTTGTAAAAGGTGCGGCAAGCAACAGGCAAGCAAAATTTGGGACATTTCCAACTTATAACCCTGACTTAAGGTTTTGATAGTGTAAAAAGGGAAATGGGAAAAATAGTTTGAAAATGGAAATTATGGGGAAGATAGCTTGAAAATCAGAAACACAATTAGAATTTTAAAGTATACTTAAAACACTGAGCAGCCAGTTTAAATTCTACAAAATGCTAAATCAGTGAATTAGAGGACAATTTGGAGTTGCTTCAAAACTTAAAGAATATAATAAAGAGGGAAAAGGTAACTGTGCAGAAGGTACAAGATACAGAGGATATGAAAAGAATTCCAGAAGAGAGGAAAAAGAACTATCCCAGCCAACATTTATTGAATGTTAAGTAAGTGCTGGGCTTTGGGCTAAGTAATTCTTTAACTATTTTGTCTACCACTTGCAACATCCCAGTGAGGGTGAGTACTATGATCATTCACAATTTATAGATAAGAAAACCGATGCTTAGAGAAATTAATTATTTTACTATCTAAAGGGGAAGCTAAGATTCAAATTATTTTCCAATAAAATAAACATATCCTCCTTTCTTAGCAAGCTTTCAGCATTGGGTTAACGCAGTTGTGCACTGAGAACACACTTTCCCACTCCTCTCTCAAAGCAAAGTTACTCATTTTCTCTACCATACCCCCAGGTACTGATGAAGATGCCATCATCAATGTCCTGGCCTATCGCAACACCGCCCAGCGCCAGGAAATCAGGACGGCCTACAAGACCACCATCGGCAGGGTAGGTACAGCATCACCTGCTCAGTGCAGGTGACAGGGACTTGTCAGGCACCAGGCAAGTAGCGCCTCCCTTAGAACAAGATGCCTATGGTGGTCCTGTGTTTTAAAAGATGTATCTTTTGTCTTGTTTCTGATTGTTTTAATTTATTTATCTGCATTAAAAAAAAAAACTGGTAAGGGAGGGCAGGGACAAAGGGAAAAAATGAGAACCCAGACCGGTCATGTAAAGGTACAAGATCCCAATAATGAATGTAACTGTGCTGTATACCTAAAATGTACCAATAAACTCAATGAGAAAAAAAAAAAAACTGTTGACAAAGATTAATGGGCAATAATCTTGAATCAGTGGGGAAAAAGAGGCAACACCACTGAAACAGGTTTTTTTTCCCAACTGATCAAAACCTCTTAAGTGGTGTCACTGAAAACCAACTGCTTCTTGCTTTTCTAAACATATAGTGACATAATGAAAAATACTCAATCACTTCTGTTCCTACCTGAATATATAAAAATTGAAATACCAATTAAAGACCAGGCATGGTGGTGCACGTGCGTAATCCCAGCACTCAGGAGGCTGAGGCAGGAGGATCACTGTGAGATTGAGGCCAGCCTGGGCTACACAGTGAGTTCAAGGCCAGAATGAAGTACATAGCAACATCCTATCTCAAAAAAAAGGAACAATTAAAAACTAATATTTCTCTCTTTAAATGTGTCTTATTGATACAATTTCAATATTCTCATTTAATAGTGACATGGTTTATGAGATTTTTTTTTTCCGTTCACAAGCTAAGCAATCTACCCAATGGGAACTGGTAGTCTATAGGCTCAGAGTGCAAATTTAAAGTTTAGGAATGCAACAACTGACATTTCTAAGATATAAAACATGAAATCCTTAGAAGGTTTGTGCAGAAAGCTTTGCTAAGCAGATGGTCACAAAACTGGAACATCTGATAATTTTGCTGGCAATATCAATGGGACTCCCAAAGTTTCTTGACTCAGTTTGAACTCTCATCTTAGGCTTTGTATTTGACTTTTCCAGTTTCACTAATGACACAAACATGATTCAGATCTCTGAAGTAGTCATTATAGTTAATAACAACCTGGTCTGGAATTTCAAATCCACCAAAATCTGGCCTAATATCCAACACCTCAAGGGGTGCTTTTCACACTCTTGTGACCTTGACCATCTTTGGACTGTACTGCTTGACTAAGGAAAGCAATGTGTGCATTGTTTTGCCAGTGGCAATTATATCCTCAACAATCACAGCATTCTTTCCAGTTAAAATCCAGAGCTCATCTCCACCCCTTACTTTTATGTCCTCTGTTGACTGGTCATTGTAGTAGCTCTGGAGTCTGATAAAACTTTTGCCATAGGAATGAATTTATCACAGTTTCTATTTAGTGCTTTAATGTAATCCAGAAGGTCAGCAAAGACTTTATAGCCTTTCTTGAGAACAGATTTCTATAGTGTGATGGCTCCCGTCTCCATCACATCTCGGGCAAGACTTTCAGTCCTGTCTGTATTTAGTCTACGAGGAATAAACACCTTTCCAAATCCTTGGCAAAGGGGTTACTATACATAATAAATCAGGTCATAGCCTGTTTTGTCATCCCTAATCACAACTCTGGGGCTGAGAGCTGCCATTGAATCCAACTTGCGTGGGTTGGTGGCAATAGGAGAAGGAAACTGGTGGAGGGGAAGAGGAGCAGGCAGAGGCCCTTTGTCTTGTTTTCAGGTGTTCCTGGAAACAGTGCTTACCTGGGGAGAGTGTGGAGTCGGAGGGTGAAGAGGTTGGAAACAGGGACTCGTTGAATAAGGAGGAATAACTGCCAATGTTCTGTAGCAGGCAAAGATAAGTAATTGACAGCAATTACTTGACTGTTTCAAAAAAGCTTCTGAAGAAGATTTGTGATATTCCCAACACAAGGAAATGATCAGTGGCTGAGATGATGGATATACCAGTTATCCCGATCTGATCATTATACGTTGTGCACAGATGTTGAAATGTCACCCTATACTCCATAAATATGTACTATATGTCAGTAAAAATAATTTTTTGAGACAGAGTCTTGCTATGTATTCCCTCCTAGTCTTGAACTCATCATGTAGCCGAGGCTGACCTTATACTCATGGAAATCCTCGGCCTCCCAGGTGGGAGAGTGCCAGTATATGGTGTACCACCATATCTGAGAAAAGATGAAAATATTTTTTGAATTTTTTTTAAAAATCACATTGATATTCCTCACTATACCATAGGTCGAGAAATGATTCCAGTAGCTGTTGATTCAAAGATTCAAGCTTCAATCTTAAGCCCTTCCCTCTTCCCTCTTAAGTCCTCCAAGGGTCTTTGTTGTGTGTGGACTCAACTGTTGCCCTTCTAAACTTCAGGTGAGGCTAATGAAGACTCACTAAACTGACCCAAATATTTAAATCCAGTTTGTTTCACATAGGCTGTCTTAGGATTTGGTGTCCTGACTGCCACATAAACACATTTGTAGCGATTTTTTTGTGTGTGTTGTTTTGAGATATATGAAAAGAATCTGGTCTTGTACAGAAATGTAGTTGAAGAAGTAGGAAATATTTCAATTAATAGCTTTTTATCTAGTTATAAATATGCACAGATATGTTGAGTAACTTTAGGAAAACTCCACTCTACACTTTGACAGGAACAGTAAAAAGGCAAATGTCTTACTGCTATTGTGAAGATCGCTGGACCTTGCCTATGGCCTGGAAGCATCCTGGAGACCCCAGACCTCCATGGACTGCACTTGGGGAATGATTTCTTCAGGTGATTGTAGATGTTTAAGAAGGCTGCTTTCTTTTGTTGTTATAGGAGCTGTTAGATGACTTGAAATCTGAACTGAGTGGCAACTTTGAGCAGGTGGTCATAGGGATGATGACACCCACCGTGCTGTATGATGTGCAGGAGCTGCGAAGGGCCATGAAGGTGTGTGTTCCTCCCCTCTGCCCGGAGAGCAGTTGGCACAAACACTGAGGAAAGCGATGTTTGCTTTGTTTTGCCAGTGTCAATTATATCCTCAACAATCGCCTCAAAAGCCCTTCTGAGGGTGGAAAGCAAGGTTGTTCCTTAGAATGTACAGGAAAAAGGCTTTCCACGCATGATCTCATGATGACAACTGGGAGACTTTCTAGCCACTGTAATTTAAAAATTGTTTTCCAAAAGATTACGGAATCATTTGCTCCTGTGGCTCAGTGAGGAGTGATTCTAGCTGTCTGTGTGGGACCAGAGCCTCACTCGTGCGGCTAAGCATGTGCTCTGTGGCTGAGCTACACGCCAGCAGGCGTGTTTATAATTGTGCTTTTGGTGTGGTTCCAGTCACTTTCTTGTTGTGTTAGTTACTTTATGACTGCCCCCTTGGGGGCTTCCGATATGCTGTCAGTGTAGAACTGGCAGAAGAGTTCCTTACAGGCAAGGCCCTTCCACGTGACCAGTCAGTCATTCCCTGGGCCCCAGCTGGGGTCAGCTGATTTTCAGTGACTCAAGCATGACCTGTAAGTGCAGTCAACCTCCTCAGACTCACTAATAATGGCTCAGCGTTGTGGAAGGCTCTGAGCTAGGCTCTGAGAAAGCAAAGAGGCAAAAAGTCTTTGCCAGAGCATTCTGCTCTTCATATGAAGAGAACAAAAGAGGTCATGGAAAGATTAAGTCCCCAAAGCACAGAAACTCTACTGAACCTGGCACAGTAAGCCACACAGGTTAAACAGTCTCTAAGTCTTTGTTATAACTAATAATGTTTATGGTAAACATTGGATTTGGGGAAGGATAGTTAAAAGTTAACAAATCCTATTGGTAGGACCCAGTGGGTTGTCTTTAACCTCCCTAGATTTGTGGCTATATTCCTTCTGTATCTGGAACTCAATTTAAAAAAACTTTTTGAACTGCTACAGAAAAACATAAAAATGTATATCAGCCTGACACACTGATTTACATGCCTCTCCTCTGGTTTCCTGTGCAGGGAGCCGGCACAGATGAGGGCTGCCTGATTGAGATCCTGGCCTCCCGGACCCCTGAGGAGATCCGGCACATCAAACAGATCTACCAGCAGAGTACGTAACAGGCCCAGTGTCCCAGCTGAGGTTTCGCTGCGATTTGAGCACAAGCTTAGCAGCAGATGGTGATCTACTTTCTAGATACGCTGATGACAAGGGCTCCTTAGCACCGAGCTCTTCTTGAGGCAGATCCCAGTGTAGGCAAATGTTGGCTTCTGTAGGATTCTTAGGGGAAGACACCACTCTGCTAAGGCTGCCCAGTGCAGTGTTTTAGTACCCTTCAGTGGGAAAGTGGTTTCTTATAACCAAGCAAAGAACCAAAGGCGCTTGTTCAACATGCTGGCATCAACCAGTGATTCTTAGGATTTCGAGGGAGGCCCTGGAAGGGCTGTCTGGCCCAATTTTTTACCTCCAGAATGGCCCATGTGTCCTCCAGCCTTATCAAAATTATAGCCACTCATCCCTTCTTAAAATCCTCCAGAGAATGATATGTATAAAGAAGCTTACAAAAAAAATAAAAAAAAACATTGCCTTTTTTCCCTTAGAACAAAAAACTGTCCAAATGTTTAGATTCCATAGTGTTTATTTGGCATTGTTTATATTAGCTAAAAATGTCCAATGGTATTAGGTTGGCTAAACAATTTATTATATAATCACAATGAATTAGTAGTCATTAAAACTTATATTACAAAAAATTACTGTTACCCTAAATAGTATGGTATATAGGTAAGTGAAAAGAACAAGTCAAAAATAGTATACTAAGATCCCTTTCTTTCAAAAGAAAAAACAATAGAGAAAAATGAAAAAAGATATTCACAAAATGTTATCAGTGATTTGTTATCGGTATTTCTGAGTGATTAGACTACGGCAGAATTTTATCCCCTCATTTTACTTATTTTTCCCCTAAGTTTTCTCCCCCACCAAGTTTTCTATAGTCAACATGTATTGCTTTTGTAGAAAGAAAACAATACAATATGGTGGTCAGTGTTCAGGATGAGAGATTCACCCCTTGGGGGCTTGGACTCAGCACCCGGACCCCTACTTCTGCCTGCAGGTTTCTCCAAGGCGGAGGAGACTGGAGCTCCTCACAAGACCTCCCAGAATCCCTCTCAGGAGGCACTGCCCTCATTGTCTCCTTTGACACCACACTGGCCATTCGGCCACTTTCAGAGCAGAGGCTGGACAATGGGAACCAGAGGGAGGGTTGGGCCTCTTCTCAGCCTCACATCTTCAGGGACAGGAATCTCCGGTTCCCACTGTAGTGACAAGTTAAACTATCTTGAGTTTAGTTTTTGGAAAACTGTGTACGAGGGAAAGTCTAGCGTGACCTGCTGCAGCAAATGTGGAGGGACAGAACGTACTGGAGGGTGACACAGAGGTGGGCAAGACTGCATGCTGATGTAACTAATTCCACTTCCTTGCTAGAATATGGACGGAGCCTTGAAGATGACATTTGCTCTGACACTTCGTTCATGTTCCAGAGAGTGCTGGTGTCTCTGTCAGCTGTGAGTCACTGCCTCGGTCCCTGCTTCTGACAGAGGATGGGTTTTGTTGAAATGCTCACTGTTCACCCCCTCACCAGCCTCTCTCATCCTTTCGGCAGTCTTGGGCTTCTCTGTTCTTTTACCTGATTTCCTCTACAGAGCCCCTGACTAGTGGCATATACCCATTTGTTCAGTACTCACAAGTCCCTAATACCTGCCAAGGACCCCTACTCCAGTCATGCAGATGACTCACTGGGGGTTCCTGTGCTTTCAGGGTTTATATTATCGTAAGGAAACATATCAGACACACAAGGTGCTAGAAGGCATGAAAAGATTCAGTCCTCAAGGAGAGCGCATAGCAAGAGGAAGATTGGAGGAGAGACTATGGTTGTAGAAACAAAGCAAAAGCCTCATGGTAGAGATGCTGGTTCAGAGGCTACTTGGAGAATTGCAGGATTCCAAGAAGCTGAGATGTGGGTGGGCACATTCCAGGCAGGAAGAACAGCAAGAACGAGGCGAGAAGGAGGGAAACGGGGTGTGTTGGGGGAACACTTGGCTGAACAGGCAGAATGGTAATTTTGAAGCAAGCTGGAAGGATAAACTGGGATTCTATGTGGTAAGGGTTTGTACTTTAATTGGAGAGTAGTAGGGAGCCACCACAGGTTTGGGAACAGCGGGTGATGATGAGAGTCAGGTGGTTGGAACTGTATTTTCCAAAGAGGATGGATTCTATGTGGTAAGGGTTTGTACTTTAATTGGAGAGTAGTAGGGAGCCACCACAGGTTTGGGAACAGCGGTGATGATGAGAGTCAGGTGGTTGGAACTGTATTTTCCAAAGAGGGATGTGATGATAATACGTGTGAAGGGCAGTGCAAGGAACTGAGGACTGGGAAGCCAGGTAGGGAGCTTCGTCAGGGTTCCGTATGAGAACTAATGGTAAGGGTTTGTACTTTAATTGGAGAGTAGTAGGGAGCCACCACAGGTTTGGGAACAGCGGTGATGATGAGAGTCAGGTGGTTGGAACTGTATTTTCCAAAGAGGGATGTGATGATAATACGTGTGAAGGGCAGTGCAAGGAACTGAGGACTGGGAAGCCAGGTAGGGAGCTTCGTCAGGGTTCCGTATGAGAACTAAAGCAGAGCAGGACCGGGTGAGGGTGGAAAGAGGACTACCAGAAAAGAGAGTACAATGTTCAAGACACTCCGTGTGACCCCCCGCTATGGCCCTGACTTCCCTCCTGGGGCGTAAGACCTGTATTCTCAGGGCTTAACCTGCCATTACTTTAAATTGCTGCTAAACTAAACCTAAACTTCTCTCCCTGAGCCAGCTCTTCCTCTTGCCCTGCTGTGTCTGTTATTACTGCTGCTCTGCCTGTGTCCAGAGCAGAAACCTGGAGATGTCGCCCATTGTCACCCTGTCTCTGTCATTCACTTAAATAATGCCTGCATGTTTCTCTTATTTCCTTCCCAGTTTTCCTTTCCTCCTATATTACTACCCTGATGAACCATGCCTACACCACAGAATATTGGGCAGTACACAATAAAAATAGCAAACCAGAAGAAAGTAGCCTGTCTGTCACTCTTCAGTATTCCTCTGAGGCCTCAGCTCTGCCTTCCCTAAGTTACAGCCACTGCTGGGCAAGGAGGGGGTTTCATGGGTTCCTCAGGTCCCGTAGCAGGCTCAGATTGTCTTGACACTCCCATGTTCCAACCCCTTTCTGGCCAGTTTGGAAGGTGCGCCCGCTAGGAAGCTGCAATACTGGGGAGGGGGCAGTGGTGGGAGCAGTGACTCTCCCACCCCTCCCAAAGGCAGAGACCCAGGCATGTCAGGGGTCACAGTGTGGCTTGTGCTCTGCTGGCAGTGTCCTCCAGGTACAGCTCAGAGCCATGGTAACCATGTGAGCACTTTGAGAGGACTATTGTCCTGCTTCCCTAAGGCCCAAAGTCACACCCCTGTGGCATTTTTATCTCATTACCATGTCCTTGGGTTCCCAGGCCTTCTGTCTTAACAGTGCCCCAAATCTTCATGGACACCCTTTTTTACTCTCTTGATTTTTCTCGTCCTCAGGGTGGCAGGGATCCAGGGAATTACCTGGACGATGGGCTCATGAGACAGGATGCACAGGTTGGTAGAACAGCAGCTCCTTCTTCATTTCTTTCCATGTTAGTCAGACTGCCCTCCCTGGTGGGCAGCCTTTCCTACTTCAAAGCATGTTAGCCAGGCTGGGTGTTGCAAAGAGATTTCCACAGAAAACCTTCAATAGCAGGTGTCTTACAGGGGTTCCTGGGGCCAGCACTAAGCACCATTCTGCTTCTACTTCTGGGTCCCAAACTTCTTGATAATGGAATAATTGTGTGGTGAGCTTAGGGTACCTTCTGTAGGGTGGTGCCTTTTTTCTGTTTGCTGTGCATTTTTTTCTCCCCCACAGAGAACATTCAGTACGATTTGTGTAAAATAGCTTGGCACAGCATACACCCTGTGGGGTAAAATTACTACCGATCCCAAGAGATGGTTGTACCCAACCGTGGAAGTTTTTCCTGTACTAATCCCTGTAGCCAGATAACACTAATAATAATAACTCATAAGCCAGGTGTGCTGCAGCATGCCTATAATCCCAGGTACTTGGGAAGCTGAGGCAGACAGATCGCAAGTTTAAGACCAACCTGGCAACTTAGCAAGACCCTGTCTCAGAATAAAAAATAAAAACATTTGGGGATGTAATTCTGTGATAGAGCACCCCTGGATTCAATCTCTAGTACTGCAATAAAATACTATATAATAATAATAATAAAATAATATCTCGCAAAAGTGGGTACCAAATACTGTCCTAAGATTTTATATTCAGTACCTCATGGAATTCTTGCAGTAACCCTGTGAGTTAAGTAAGTACTGCTGTCCCCATTTTACAGACAAGGAAACAGAGACTCAGAGAAAAGTTCTCTGTCAAGTTCAGACAGATAGTGAATGGAAGAACTGAGATTTACGCTTGCATTCTTAACCAATATACAACCATAGGGAGGGACTGGTTCCACTCAGTGTGTGACTTATGAACCACTGTTTATGCAGAAAATAAGCTGTTGCTTCCATTAGAAGGAAGGGAGTATGTATGTGGCTTAGGCACCGGAATTTTAAGCACCCCAGGAGCATGCATTCCTGTCAAACCAAGAGCAGCTGTTTATATCCCAGCCTCAGAAAGTGCAGAATCTCTTCTGCATATACATATATATATATTTTTTTTTGAGACAAAGTCTTGCTATGTTTTCAGGCTGGTATCAAACTTGGGACTCAAATGAGCCTCCCAAGTAGCTGGGACTCTAGTTGTTCCGCTGCTCCTGGGCATGCTTTCATGCTTTATTAATTGAAACAACATATTAGGAGTTTTCAATAAGCAGAATCAGTAGTATGGAGAGATGATAGATAGATAGATAGACAGATGCCCCTTGACTTACAGTAAGATTATGTCCCAATAAAGCCCTTGTAAGTTGAAGATGCATTTATTACACCAAACCTGCTAAACATTCTGCTTAGCAACACAGTACACTGTAAGGTGTAAGATTTTTTTATCCGCACAATTTAGGGACTGACCAGAAGTAGTGGCTTCCCTATGCCCACCACACATATTGTAATAAAAATATCACACTGCATATAGATAGGCTGGGAAAAGATCAAAATTTGAAGTATAGGGGCCAGGGATTTGGACCAGTGGTTCTGCCACCTGTCTCATAAGCACAAGGGCCCGAGTTCGATCCTGGTACCAAAAAAAAAAAAAAATCGAAGTATGGCTCCTACTAACACCATGCATCATTTTCTCACCATTGTAAAGCTGAAAAATCAAAGGCAACCAAGTGTAAGTCAAGAACCCTCTGTTATGTGTGCATGTGTGTTTTCCTTTCCAGCCAACAAAATAAAACTAAGCAAGTCAGCTCTTTGAAGTTCTGGAAATATTTGTGTATGTCCTGGCATATTTAAACTTTGATCTAAACTTGTGCTCTGCTTGGCTTCAGGACTTGTATGAGGCTGGAGAGAAGAAATGGGGAACCGATGAAGTGAAATTTCTAACTGTCCTCTGTTCCCGGAATCGAAATCACCTGTTGCATGGTAGGCACTTACCTCACTTCCTAAAGAAACTATTTCAAAGACAGTGAAAAGTATACTGCCCATAATAAATTTCCCTCTTTTCTTGGAGCAGAAAACTGACTATACTGAACTGCCTTCAATGCTTACCATGGAATGTATGAGTCCAGTGATGTAGGGATCATTTCTGAAAAATTAATTTCGAATAACTAAAATGTATTCATAAAAGTTTGGTGGGAAACCTACTCTCATAATGATTTGTTTTTAAAGCAACCCTAATACTTCCATTTTCATTTAGTTATAATTCTAAAAAAGTCTTCAGTACACCAGGAAACAATAAATTAGTAATGTTAGTTGATATTTATTCCTCTTTGACATCCAAACTATGAAGCTAATAGAAGTGATTTCTTCAGTTACGTTGAATTAGATGAAGATTAGATAATTTCAGATTTTATTTCCTGTGTGTGGTGTTTCCAGTCTGTTTCTGGTAATTCTAAACTTAGTAATTTGCTTCTAACTTCTCTGGAGAAAAAGACACTATACGATTGTAGAAAATTTGTTTCAGGCTTATATTATTCTTGTACACAGAAATAAAGATTTAATATAATATTTCAAATTTTATACAAACTCTTTAGGTCTTTTTGTACATCATAATTTTATGAATCCACCATACACTTGTCACACACAGAGATTTACAAAGCTTGTGGGAAATTTGAGAGGAATGAGATTGCCAAATTGAAAACATAAAGTAATTGAAAAGTGCAACACATTTTAAAGTTTTAATTATTTCAGCTATTCCACAGGGACAAAAAGAAAATCGATTGCTTTTATTAATAAATACCACGGGCTACCAGCAGACGAACTAGTGGCCAAATCTTTATTGCTTTCTTGCTTTGTCTTCCCTTGCCTGATTCCAAAAAAAAGCACAAATCCCCCTAGTGGCACATTCCCATAACTGCAGTCTCAGTAAGAATTTTCACTTCCTAGGCACAAATCAATAGTCCGTTATAAAATATCTACTTGTAAGCCACAGAGAGAAAATGTTTTAAGCATTGTTTGGATAAAGAAAATTTCATAATATTCTTAGAACCAACAATAGTGGTGAATATTCTTAGCTATCATTCTTTCAATAATTTTCTAACTTCTAGATGTGATGTTAAGCAAATCCTAAGCATTGTTTCTTGCAGCATCCCAGTGAGTAGTCATTATTTCCCCCAAATGACAGTGGAGAAAACTGAGGCTTAGAGAGTGTGTCGATTTGATTTCAAGCAATATACACTGACTCCAAATCAAGTAAGAAAAGAGGAAATAATATGTCATGGGAAAAGAGAGAAAATGAAAAACACATCAAATTGAAAGGAAAGTTAAGTCACTTCGAGTTGAAGAACAAAAATCAAGGCAGTTTTCAGCATCTCCCTAGAAGCAAGTCATGGATTTTATTTCTAAGGCAGAGTTTGCTGACTGATGTCTGGTCTCCACTTTAAAATGCTGATTTTTGGGTTAGGTATGTAGCATTGCCCACCTGGGTGAGGTCCTGAATTCTGTCCCTACCACAAAAAAGTCGAACTTTTGCACCCCTACTTCAGATTGTCTGAAGTAGAATCTCTGGGAGTGACACACAGAAGTTTGACAGGTTTCCTACATGATTTTTTTTTTTTTTGAGACAAGGTCTCACTATATAGTTGAGGCCAGCCTTAAAGTCACTATGTAGCTGATGGTGGCCTCAATCTCATGGGGATCCTCCTGCCTCAGTCTCCTGAGTGCTGGGATCACAGGTGTGCACCACCACACCCAGCTTCCCAGGTGATTTTTATGTTCATTGAAGGTAAAGGTGGCTCCATGGTTTGGGCCATCCCCATAATCTGCTCAGTTTAAAATTCCCAGGAAGGCAAGCCTGACTGGGTGAATTGCTCACTTGTTTGTTAGAGGTTATGAGGTATGTTGTTGGATATGGGTGTCCCTTCATGAACAAACCATGAGAATCCCCTTGATTGAGGTAAGACAGCATTCCAGAGGAGAAAATGGTAAGGAGATAGCCAAAATAGATATTTCTTCTAAGAAGCTAATAGCAAGAGAGGGGAACATATTCCATCACAGTAAAAAATACTTGGCAAAAAAAGCAACAGAAATTTAATTATGTTAAAGTCTATTAAAAGATACAAACTGGCTGTTATCAAATGTGACTCAGTTTTGAAGAAGCTGATTTGCTTTAGATTTGATGAGCCAAAAGGAAGCTGAACACACAGATGACTGCTGAGGCCAAAGTTGCAAAAAGACACATTGTGCTTATTAAAGGAACAAGGAGAAAAGAAAGCAAGTATCTCCAGAGAATGTCTCCATTTTATTTGTAAGGAAGCAGTGTTCCAGATAAGACAAGGAACTTACCTGGTGCCCTTGAAGCATCACAATTCTCTTTCCTCCTTGCCTCTGGCCCATTCTGTTGGGCCATAATATCCTTCTGTATCTCAGTCACATTGCTAGTTACTGCACTCTTGAAATATGCCCAAGAACAGTGTAAAGTAGTAAAAAGATGCTCATTCTGTCCATAAATTTTAGTTTCTTCTATGTTTTTATATTATTGATAATGCCATTTTGTTATTTGTAGTGTTTGATGAATACAAAAGGATATCACAGAAGGATATTGAACAGAGTATCAAATCTGAAACATCTGGTAGCTTTGAAGATGCTCTGCTAGCTATAGGTAAGCTGGTAGCGAATGGGGAACAGAGAAGCAAATGTCATTGACTTTCCTCTGTATTATCAGTTTGTTGTTAAGGGGTCTAGAATTCTGATTTTCAGAGATCAGAGTTGCTTAAATCACCTATGTTCCAGGATTTTTTGTTGGTGATGGTTTTTCATATGAGGTCTCACTATGTTCCCCAGGCTGATCTTGAACTTGTGGTCTCAAGTGATCCTCCTCCCTCAGCCTCCCAAGTAACTGAGAACTACAGGCACATGCTGCGATGTCTGGCTAATGTTCCAGAATTTTAAAAAAGAAATATTATATACAACTTGGTTGCTACTGTGCCTTATTTTTTATATCTTCTATGCTTTTATAGCTCATTATATGAGGAAGATAATAGTATACTAGCTGCATTTTGCAAGTCTCACTGGTTAGGACTAATAACTGTCTCTCATAGCAGACATGTAATCATTTGTGAAATTATATATCTCCCTTTTCTTTGATGACCTTTATAAATTACTTCTGTAGGAACATGATAAATTAAGGATACTTTCCATCTGAGAAAATGCCTACAATATAATTTATGCTCATGAAATATTGTATGCTAAAATTTGGCAAAGCAATCAAGAGATATTCTTGATACTTTGTTTTTCCTTGATACTTTGTAGAAACAGAGGGGATTCTGACTTTTCTCATAGGTCTTTGCTATAATCTTTAATCTTTTTTCTTGACAGTAAAATGCATGAGGAACAAATCCGCATATTTTGCTGAAAGGCTTTATAAATCTATGAAGGTAAATGGCCTCATTTTTTAGCATCTGAGTATTTGATTTATCTGTATCTATCTTCTTAGTTTGCTAATACCCTCTACCCAACCTTCAGCTGAAATATCCAATTTACTTTACCATTTGTTTTGCTAAGTGCTGCTAATAATAATACTAAGCTAATTTTTATTTTTGGTCATACTGGGGATTGAACTCAGGACCTTTCTACTGAGTTATATCGCATCCGTGTTTTCAAATTTTTTATTTTGAAACAAGGTCTTGATATCTCACTAGGTTACCCAGTCTGGGCTAGAACTTGAGATCCTCTTGCCTCACTGAGTGATATTTATTGAGTACTTATGATGTGTGGATCAAGGTTCCTAATGTTTTATATGTATTGGTTAATTTTATCCTTAAAACAGTTCTATGATACTCTTATTTGGGGATGGGGCAGATATTATTATAACTCCCCATTTTACAGATGCAGAAACTGAGGCAGAGCGAGGACATACAATTTGCGCAGGATGCTCAGTGAGAAATAGTGAAGCAAAGACGCAAATGTGTCTAGCTGCAGAGCCCATCCTCCTACCTGGTTTCTATTCTGCAAACACCCAGGCAGGGGAACTATGAGAGATTCAGGAAAGATCAAAATGTAGACCTTGTTCTCATAGACTGTCGAGCCTTCTAGGGAAAATAGGCATGAGCAAACACCAAAAATGTGATAGACTATAAGACCGTGGTTGAGGATTCAGATATTATGGAAACACAGAGGAAAGAGTTCAGTATTTGTTGTCTTTTTTAGGGGAGTGTGGGATCCACAAAGAATATATATTTTTTTAAAAATGGAGGCTGGAGATGTAGCCCAGTGGTAGAGTACAGGTGTGAGGCCTTTGTTCATTTCCAAGCACACAAAACAGAACTGAAACAGAAAGCTAAGAGTATTTGAGCAGGAGCTTCAGGGAAGCTTTCCATGGAAGGGGGTGAGGCAGGCCAGCCAGACCGTACCAGGCATGTCTCTAGAAGACAAAGCAGTGTCTTCTGGGCAGAATACAGTGTTAGAAAAGTAAGCCGAGGAGAGCCTTGAAGCCTATGGCAAAGAGCAAAGATATTCTTCAGGCATCCAAGGCTGTAGAGGAAAAGATACCATCAGAAGAGTTGCTCTACATCTTGCCTTACTAAACTGAGGAAGAGCACTCTGAAAGACAGTCAGCCTTTCTCATACAGACATCTTGCTTTCTTCCTCAGGGATTGGGCACCGATGACAACACCCTTATCAGAGTGATGGTTTCCCGAGCAGAGATTGACATGGTGGACATCCGGGAAAACTTCAAGAGGCTCTATGGAAAGTCTCTGTACTCATTCATCAAGGTGGGTCACAGCAAACTTGCCCTCATGAGGGAAGCACCCATGAAACGGGGCTCAGCATTTGGCCTTTCTGGTCCCCTCCTGCCTGGCATCTATCACCCCTGCAGAGATGGTCCTCTACTTCAGGAATTTCCAGTCTCCTTCCGCACAGATCTTTAAATCTGTGGTGGTTATAAGCTGGGAATGTTTGCCTTCTCAAATACAAAAATGATTTCATTTTTACTCCAGACAGAGAAATATCACATTCTATTGAATACTTTTAAGAGCACAGTTTCCATGACTACCTAATAATGATGAAAGAAGCAGCTGGATTCAAAATCCCATGCAGTGCCAGCTGATGTCTGCTGGAAATGTGGGAAAACATTTTGGTTTTTCTGGACTGCTATTCTTTACCTGGTACCAGACATTAGGAATCCTAAAATGGCACAGGAGGGATGAGAAATGATTCACATTCTCAAAACCCCTCATTAGTGGGATTTTGCTCCCCCCCCATTGAGTTTATTGGTACATTTTAGGTATACAGTACAGTTACATTTATCATTAGGATCTTGTACCTTTACATGACAGGTCTTGGTTCTCACTTTTTCCCCTTGTCCCTGCCCTCCCTTCACCCCCTCCTCCCCTTCCCATTTACAAGCATTTTATTTCCATTTTTTCATTTTCTCCTATTTTTTTCCTTTCCCTTATTACCTTTCCCCTACCCTTCCCACTTTCCCTACACCTTTAGCCCTTTTCTTCCTATTTCTCATGGTCAATTATCTCATTAGGATCTTATGTACTATTACAGTTTGTTCACACCAGAGAAACTATTCAGTATTTACATATGTATGACTTATTTATTTCACTTAGGAGTATATCTTCCATATGTATCCATTTTCCTATGAATGAATCTAATTTCTCATTCTTTATGGCTGAGTAGTATTTCATTTTATAGAAAAACCACATCTT